TAGAGGTGCGTCTTGGCGGGCGGTGTTTGGCTTAGAGGCGCGTCTTGGAGGTTTGCGTTTGGCTAAGAGGTGCGTCTTGGCCGGTGGTGTTTGGCTTAGAGGTGCGTCTTGGAGGCGGTGTTTGGCTTAGAGGTGCGTCTGGGAGGGTGGTCTTTTGCTTAGAGCAAAGCCCCAAAAATTACATAGCCCGAAACCACCCAAACCTGAAACAATAAACCCTAAAACCTAAACCCAAAACCCCAAACCCTAAACCCTAAACCCAAAACCCCAAACCCTAAACCCCCAACCCTAAACCCTAATGCCTTGGTGCAGGTTGTAGGCCACCGCTGCCGCTGTGGGCTCCTCGAGATCTCGCAGTAAGGCTGCTTGGAGGCTTATAGGCACTACCCAAAGGGTCCTAAGTACCCATAGGGGGAATACTTACCCAAACCATAAAGGAAATTACTACTACAGAAACCATACTTTGTACCATATAGGTACTTTGGAGCCTTTGGGCTAGGGGATTCTGTGCGTACTTCTGAGTGTGGCTGTGGGGTTTGGGGTTTAGGGGCTCAAATTCTTACAATTGCAGGTATCCTGCATACACAACCTACTGACAAGTCCCTGTGAGCCCTAAGATATTTCAAGCAGCTAGGCAATCGGGTAACCTTCTGAAGATGAAGCTCAGCTTGCCGGGAATGAGCCTACTACCTGGTTATAGAACCCCTTAAGTAGATAGAATATGGCTTCGGGTATTTTATAATAAGATCCCCATAAACCCCATATTCTATCTACTTGAGGGGGGCTGTACCGAAACCCTTAAACCTGTGAAGCCGTTGGCAGAGCGACTCCTCGAGAATGCGCATGACCTTCATCCCGGCTTGTTCAAAGGCTTCCTGCGTTGCCTCCCACGCCAAACTTGCAACAGGAACAGTTGTCAAGAAGGTAGAAATAAGTATAGTCCCCCTGAAGTAGATAGAATATGGCTTTGGGTTTCTTATAATAAGATCCCCATATAACCCCTATTCTATCTACTTAAGGGGGGCTATAACCCGAATATATACCCTCTTATACTATAGTAGCTTCCAGTTTCTTTTCCATTATTCCCTATATAACCCCAAATCATATACCCCATATTCTATCTATTTAAGGGGGAATATATTCCCCTAGTTTCCATTTCATTTTCCATTTTCTTTTCCGTTTGATTCTCCATTACAGGGGCATAGTAGGTGATTCTTCTATCTACTTCAGGGGGACTATAAACCCCAAACCCTAAATCCTAAAACCCTAAGCCCTAAATCCTAAACCCTACATTCTATCTACTCAAGGGGAACTATAACCCAAATTCAATGAAACCACTTCAAAACCGAGACCTGGCCTTGGTTTCTGCATAGCCAAACTTTGCCGGAACCTCGATGGCGCGGGGCGAAGCTAAGCCCTCCGAACCGTAGGGGTCCAAGTATACATTAGGAGGACCCCCACCCTATAAGAATATAAGAGGACCCGAATATGATTCCTATTATCCCTTATAGTCACTATTACTGGGTGGGGGGTCCACCTAAAGTATACAAGTAATACCTACATTGGGCCTTAAAGTCTGCAAATATTGCCTACTTTGGGCTATTTGGATCCCTAGGGGAAGGCTTCTGTCACAGCCCTCCACACAAAGAAGGCTGCATTATGAACAGGGTATTTTGAAGGTTTAGGGTTTAAGGCTTAGGCTTCAGGGTTAGGAGGACTCTATGAACTATGGGGTTGCCTTCTAGCTGGGTGGGAGGGGGTAGATACTCATACAAGTGCAACATGTACGGGAACAAGATCAGAATCCTGGGTGGGTCTCAAGGTCGTGCGCGCCCCTCAAAGCCCTAGCATGTACGAGTTTCTCCAAGTTGCTGCTCGAAGGCGTTGCCCCGCAGTTTCTCCCCTGTTTCCCTAATTAGGATCCCGAAGGTAGCCTTTTTGAGAAGTCTCCATAGGTAGTGGCTATCATACCAGCATGAAAGACGTACCACTTCAAAAACTTGTGGACTTCAGGATTGCATCAAGCGTGTAAAGTTTACAGAAAGTACTGCTCGTACTGAGGCCGCCACGCAAATGACAACCCGCGAAATGTCGAAACCTTGATCTGTCTGCACCCTAAGGTTCCAAGGATTGAAATATGGGTGGTTGTCGAAATTATGGCCCCTTTTTGGGTACCTTAGATATTAGGTGCCGTATTCTAAAAGGGATCCAAAAAGGGACCATAATTTTGACAACCAACCATATGTGGCTGTAGGGCCCAAATACTATCACCTGAATGGTAGTTGGAACCTAAAGCCCTCATAGTTGCGTCCTTTGACCCTTCTGTTAGAACCCTAAACCATACACCCTACACTTTTGGATGCCCATGCGGTCCGACTGTGGTAATGCTTACAGACGATGGCCAATTTTGAGACATGCTGGTGCAGGAACTTCATCTACCGCTCGCAATATTGCATATATATATATATTAGGTGGACCTCCCACCCTGTAATAGCGACTATAAGGGATCATGGCGAACAAGCTGGGGCACTCTTATACTCCTATTACATCACTATCACAGGGTGGGGGGGGGATCTACCTAATGTATATGTTTATCATCAACGCCTATTATGTGGGTATTTCCAGCAGCACAGGTTCCCAAAAAAACCAAAAACGCGACACTCCTGGATATCGGTACCCCCAATTTTTTGGAACCGCCCCTGGAACTTACTGGTTCTGACTAGGGAATAAGAGAGTATATATAATATGGGGTTTATATAGAGGTCATATTCCCTTATCCCCTCTGAGAACCAATTAGGTAAAGTGTGTATACGTGCAAAAAAATCTTACTGGGGGTTATAGTAGGGAATATTGATATATATATATATATATTGATATATATATATATATATTCTATGTAATTTATTCCCTTATCCGCTACTACTAACCCCCAAGTAAGACATGTATACACTGACACGGTCAGGCATGGCCCTGCCCCTTCCCAGCTCTGAGTACTGGACCAAGGTGACGTGAAACAGATCGCTTCATATGCCTAACCTCAACTTCTCAGGGGTTTTTGGGGAAGGGGTTTAGGGATTAGGGTTTAGGGATTAGGGTTTAAGGTTTAGGGATTAGGGTTTAGGATGTAGAGCTTCAACAGCCTCTCCCCCCAGACTCCATCATGAAAATCTTCCCCTGATATGATGGGAAGCTGGAATCCTAGGAGAGGATGTTCGTAGGCGATCAACTCTGAAGGGGGCTCAGCGGGGCTTAGGGTTTGGGGGCTGTCTTCTTAAGGCTCAGGACTTAGGATTTGAGGGTTTGGGGTTTAGGGAATAAAGGGTCAGGCAATGGCATGGCGGTATGATAGTTCCAGGGATTCACTCCACTACTCGGCCTTCAGTCAAACAAGCCTGCCTGGAGTTACTGGTTCTTAGTAGGAAACAAGGGAAGGCAACCCCTATATAATCCCTATCTAATATGAATTCCCTGATGTATTCACCAGTTGATAGAATACCAGTTTCAACTAGATGGGCATTTCCAATAACAGGGGGCTACGCAATAGACCCACCATACCAGAATCCTCAGGATAGGGGCTCCCAAGAAGAGAGCCCATGTTGTAGTAGAGGGGAAAACATAAGCAGTAGCAGTACAAGATGCCAGTAGACTCAGTACACGTGATAACTTTCCCTAAACCCTAAACCCTAAACCTTATTCATATGGGGATGAGAAATCTGAAGTCACTGGTATAGATCCTCCATTGTCAAGGAGGACCCTATCCCGAAGCGTCCAAGGACCCAAATAATAGGGTTTTAGGGCTCAAATACTATAATATTGATGGTATTTGGGGCCTAAAACCTCATTATTTGGGTCCTTGGACCCTTAGGGTATGGGAACCCTTACCAAACCGAACAAAACAGCAGCCAGATGAGGCGTGAGCTACTTCCGAGCCGACTTCGATAGGAGAAACCCACCTGCTCAATCAGAAGCTTAGACTCTAAGGGCTTATGGGAACGTATGCAGCTTTAAGAGTCTTAGTTCTTAAGAGTCTCCATGGTTTGGAGCATATCCTGCCTGTGTGCTTAGGTGGGTACATGCTTGGTATACATACATATAACATATATGCATATACATATGTATATATATATGTAAATACAGGGTGACGCTAATCTTGACAAGTTCTCAGTTCCCATTTTCAGCGACAAGCAAGCTCATGCAGTTGAAAGCTCGCGAATCGCGACACAAAAATAAACAGGGAACCCCTAAGAAGGCCCTGCTAAGGCCGCAGCTCGTTTGAACATAAGGTTTAGGATTTAGGGTTTTGGGGTTTAGGGTTTAGGGTTTGGGGTTTAGGGTTATGGGTTTAGGGTCCCATCTTCCATGTTGTTTTGGGAGAGGTATCTCCTGTGTGTGGATGCCGGCTCCTACTTGCAGGCGCATGGGCAGTTCTAAGTCAGGCAGTAAGCAACAAGGTACTGCTGACACATTCGCAGTGACCCAAATCCTGGACAGAAAAAATCCGTTTGTTCTGCCTAAAAAGTATACTATAGTATACTAAGTTAGTATACTCTAATCAATTCGAGTATAATATAGATGTAGAAGATGGTATATTATTAGTACCATACTATATGAGTAGTGTTTTTTGATGGTTGAACCTAGTAAGATAATATTCCTTATATAAAATACGATACCCCAAAGGAGGATATANNNAATAAAATACTACTCATATGAACCTTCATGTAACTTTGCTGAATACCCGTCTCAAAAAACAAGATCTGCAAAGAATGCCTCTCGCTTCCACTGCTGAAGGCGATGCCAAAGCCCGCCTCAAGCAGAGCAGGGTATATGGGGGTTTCCCAAA